TTTTTTTTTTTTTTTTTTTTTTTTTTTTTTTTTTTTTTTAGCTGATTTTTTTTTTTTAAACCTCCTTTAGTTATTGCTGGAGCTCATCACTGTTAACAAGAACTATATTGGGAAAAGCTTTCCTGATCTCCTCTAGTTACTGGGAAACCTTTGTTGGTCACTTCCTTTATCTGTCTTGCCATTCTAGACTGGGAATTTTGCAGCTGGCTTCTCAATCTGCCTAGAGACTTTGTAGTTGCTGCCACAACAAATATTTTCTCTCAGACTGTGAGTCATCTCTGATACCTTTCTGGGAAATTGCCAAATATTGCTTCAGTTTATTTTGTGAAGTTTCCCACTCCTGTTTCAGGTCTTGTTTTAATTTCTTTTTATCTTCTTTTTACCTTTTTGGTCTGAGTGGTTAGTTAATACTCAGGGTCTTCTACCTCATTTTTTGTGTTTGGAAGAGAAATTGGGGATAGAGTCAGGTTTTCTATGAAGCAGTTTAATTTACAAAGAGTGTACACAACGTCATGTTTTTCTGAATGCAAAATGAACATCAGGAGGAAGTTTCTTTGCTCACAGTTCTAAGCCTGATTCACATTCAGCACTCTGTCCAAAAAATGCTCTCTCAGCCTTTCCTCAGGGCCCCTCTTCCAAGATTTCTCTTACTGTCCCCTGACTTTCTGGCAGCTTTTGACTCAGAGACCCACAGCTCCACCAATTAATCCCCAGCTCCTGTGTTTATCCATTGCTAAGGGCAGGAGCTGTGCAACGGTATTTAAGGTATGTGTGTGTGGGCCATAGATTTGCCTCCCTCCTGACTCTCCTCTTCCTAGATACTCCACCAGCAACACAACCACAAGCAGCCTAATGCCTTGGCCCATGAGCCCTTAGCCCCATCCTCTCCAAAACTGAGCCACTGGAATTGTGGCCTGGCACACAGGATAACAGTGATGATCAGGTTTCACCAAGTCAAAAAGCAATCGGGCCACAACCCTGGTCTCCCTACTCTCAGCTTCACAGCCTATAACTCGGCAAACTTCTTGCATGAGCTGAGTGACACAGAGGGGCCAGATTGTAAAATAGACTCTAACCTTGTCTCCCTCGCTATTCATCTAGCCCCGGTCACTTCTCTGTTCCTTCCCACAGTATCACCTGGATTTGTGTGAAAGCCTGTTTCTCGATAATTCCTTCTTGTTCTCTCAACCTTACCATCTCTCTTTTACTTTATAAATCTTATCTGTAAATACTTCTGTTTTATTTAGCTAAGTAAACCATTTGGCGATGGGGTAGGTCTCAATACAGTTAGTGAATCAAATTTCCAATGATAGATCCACATGTACATGCTTAAATTATATTTTTCCATTTCTAGAGTTATGTACAACATTCCCAGAAGATATGGAGAAAAACAATATTGGGCTGAAATGGAGCTCGAAAACAAGAGTGAATTTAGAAAGTGGAGACTTTGTTGAATTTGACTGTAAAAATGGATATGTGAGAGATCCAACATCTTCTGAATTTAGAGTACAGTGTGTGGAGGGGAAATTGGCATATCCTAAGTGTAAGAAAAGAGGTAAGTAATCTCCAGTGAAATTAAAATATTTTTACTGAGGAATTCTAAGGGTTTTTTTTTTTTAAGAGAAATGGTGGATTAAAGAGAGAGAGCTAACAAGCAAAGTAACCTCTGTATGATTTGAGCCGGAACAATCTCCCTTTGACATCTGGGCTTCTATGGGATACCAACAGAGCTGAAAAGTTTTGTACGTGTTCTTGTCTTACCCAAGTTCTCTGGCTGGCCAATTCCTCATTCAGATCGCTGACTTCCATTGTGGTCTGCACTCATTTGCTCTGCAGCTGATTTTTTTTTTTTAAACCTCCTTTAGTTATTGCTGGAGCTCATCACTGTTAACAAGAACTATATTGGGAAAAGCTTTCCTGATCTCCTCTAGTTACTGGGAAACCTTTGTTGGTCACTTCCTTTATCTGTCTTGCCATTCTAGACTGGGAATTTTGCAGCTGGCTTCTCAATCTGCCTAGAGACTTTGTAGTTGCAGCCACAACAAATATTTTCTCTCAAACTGTGAGTCATCTCTTTCTGGGAAACTGCCAAATATTGCTTCAGTTTATTTTGTGAAGTTTCCCACTCCTGTTTCAGGTCTTGTTTTAATTTCTTTTTATCTTCTTTTTACCTTTTTGGTCTGAGTGGTTAGTTAATACTCAGGGTCTTCTACCTCATTTTTTGTGTTTGGAAGAGAAATTGGGGATAGAGTCAGGTTTTCTATGAAGCAGTTTAATTTACAAAGAGTGTACACAAAGTCATGTTTTTCTGAATGCAAAATGAACATCAGGAGGAAGTTTCTTTGCTCACAGTTCTAAGCCTGCTTCACATTCAGCACTCTGTCCAAAAAATGCTCTCTCAGCCTTTCCTCAGGGACCCTCTTCCAAGATTTCTCTTACTGTCCCCTGACTTTCTGGCAGCTTTTGACTCAGAGACCCACAGCTCCACCAATTAATCCCCAGCTCCTGTGTTTATCCATTGCTAAGGGCAGGAGCTGTGCAACAGTATTTAAGGTATGTGTGTGTGGGCCATAGATTTGCCTCCCTCCTGACTCTCCTCTTCCTAGATACTCCACCAGCAACACAACCACAAGCAGCCTAATGCCTTGGCCCATGAGCCCTTAGCCCCATCCTCTCCAAAACTGAGCCACAGGAATTGTGGCCTGGCACACAGGATAACAGTGATGATCAGGTTTCACCAAGTCAAAAAGCAATCGGGCCACAACCCTGGTCCCCCTGCTCTCAGCTTCACAGCCTATAACACGGCAAACTTCTTGCATCAGCTGAGTGACACAGAGGGGCCAGATTGTAAAATATAACCAGAATGTGTGGATCTGCCTGTGCTCATCTGGTCCCAGCTTCCAACAGACTGTTCCTTTACACAATATGATTCATTATCATCGGTGATTCCTCGATTCGAGGATGATCACTACCATGGATTTACATATGGGTCCTGAGATGACTGGAACCACAGATCTGCCCGCAGTAGGTACAGACATTTCCTGGCAGGTCAGCTGTGTGCTGGAAGCAGGGCCGTCCTTATCCATACACAAAATATGCAGCTGCGTAGGGCACCAGGAAATTTGGTGCTCCAAATTTCCTGGTGCCTTGAGCAGCTGCGTGCTTCTCCAGCCCCTGCTACACCTCTTCCCCATGGCCCCTGCCCTTGCTCCACCCTAACCCCACCCCCACCCCCACCCCACCCCTTCCCCAAGCCCCTGCCCCTGCTTCACCCCAGCCTCTCCCCCACTCCCTTGAGGACTGCAGCAAGGCTGGGCCTGCACTCACCGGCACTGGTGAGTGCTGGGGGAGGTTCTCCCCCCCGTCCCCCAAGCCAGTCCTGCCCCCCCCATGGAGGCCTGGGCCCCCCCATCCCCCCTACATGGGGAGGGCTGCATAGGGCCCCAGAATAGCTAGGGACAGCCCTGGCTGAGAGACAGTTCTTTCTTCTGTCTCTCTCTTCAATTTGAGGGCAAGGCACTTCTCCTCGAAGCGGGCCACTGCCTGATGGAAGATGTGGCACCATTGTAGTATGGTTGGTTGTGATGTCCATATCAGTTTTCTCGAGATACACTTCTAGTGTTTCTTTGTAGCAGTTCCTCTGACCACCATAGGATCTATGACCATACATGAGCTGAGAGTAGAGGGATTGTTTTGAGAGGTGAGAATCTGGCATCCACACACAACGTACAGCCCAGCAGAATTGGTGGATAAGGATCGTTGCTTCAATGCTGGTGACATTGGCTTCATTGAGGATGCTGGCATTAGTGCGGTGATCTTCCCACTTGATATGAAGGATTTTCAGGAGGCATCGTTGGTGGTTCCTCTGCAAACTCTTGAGGTGCTGTCGATAACCCAGGTTTCGCATCCAAAAAGGAGTGTAGCGATGACAACTGTCTTATAGACCTGAATCTTGGTGTCCTTCCATAGGTCACGATCTGTGAAAATGCATCACAGCAGTTTCCCAAAGGAGGCATTTGCACACTGGATCCTGTGCTGGATCTCACTGTCATTTTTGCATTTAGAGAGTGTTGGCTACCAAGGTAGCAGAAGTGCTCAACTGTCTCCGAAGTCTGTCCCTCAATGGTGATTTGTGGTGGATCATGTGCAAGGCCTGAAGCAGACTGATGGAGCATTTAGTCTTCTTGATATTAAGTGAGAGTCCTAGGGTTCAGTATGCTTGTGCAACAAAATGTTGTGTGGACTTAAGGTCATTCTCAGTATGTGCAAGAATGGCATAGTCATCAGCATACTAATGATCAATAATAGATGCCTGGAGGACTTCAGACTTTGAGCAGAGACATCAAAGATTAAAAAGCCGCCCATCCATTCTGTATTGAGTTTCAATTCCAGTGGGGAGGTGGTCTTTAACGAGAACCAGAATGACTACTATATAGCTGGAGAGCAGGATTGGGGTAATATCGCATCCTTGCTTAACCACAGTTTTGATGACGAAAGGGTCCGTCTCTAAGTCAGTACAGCGAATGGTGGCAGTTGTCTGATCATGAAGAAGCCTTAGGACCCTAATAAATTTTGGAAGGCAGTCAAATCTGGCCAGCATCTTCCACAGGTCTTCACAATTGATAGAGTTGAAGGCCTTCAACAAATCGATGAAGGCCATGTGCTGATCCTGATTTTGTCCCCGAGACTTTTCCTAGATTTGGTGGGGAATGAAGATCATGTTGGTTGTCCCACAGGATGGTCTGAAACCACATTGAGATTCTGGCAATATTTCCTCAACAAGGGGAAGTAATTGGTTTAAGAGGATACAGGTGGGATAGCAAGGCAATGCTGTAGATAGCAAGGCAATGCCTTGATAACTTCCACACTCTGACTTGTCTCCTTTCTTAAAAATTGGAACAATCCATACTTCAGTGACATGAAAAAGAATCTCTTGCTGAACCTTCCACACTCAAAGAAGTAACACCAACAATCATGCAAACCAAGAACAAGAAGCCAGCAGGACCAGACAGCTTACCAGCTTAAGTCTACAAGTGTGGAGGTGAAGAACTGGTAGATAAGCTCCAAAACCTTTTTCTTCAGATTTGTTATAATGAGAACATTCTGGAAGACCTGAGAAATGCCAACAACTATGCCTACTTTGTTTTGAAAGCTCCTTCTGTTGAATTCCTTCTTGTTCTTCTTCGAATAGTGTCCCAATGGGTGCTACACTCTAGATGCCCTTGCGCCCCTTGCACCTTTGATCGGAGATTTTACATAGCAGTCTCTGTTCAGCCTGCACATACATCCTGCTCAGTTTTGTGCACTACACTGTAGTTATCTAGCACTGCGTGGGGGAACTGCCCTCAATTCCTTCTCAAGCAACAGAGTATCCTTCAGCATGGAGTCACTATACAATTAGTGAACCAAATGTCCATTGATACATCCACATGTACATACTGAAATTATATTTTTCTATTTCCAGAGCCATGTACAACATCCCCAGAAGATATGGAGAAAAACAATATTGGGCTGAAATGGAGCTTGAAAACACAGCTTAATTTAGAAAGTGGAAACTTTGTTGAATTTGACTGTAAAAATGGATATGTGAGGGATCCAACATCTTCTGCATTTAGAGTACAGTGTGTGGAGGGAAAATTGGCATATCCTAAATGTAAGAGAAGAGGTAAGTGATCTCCAAGTAAGCTACAATTCTGGTGAATCATCTGACTAAAACATTTGTTAAAATTTTTACCAAGATTTTCTCAGGTTTAAAAAAATGCAATGGCACCATTGTGATGGGTGCCATAAAAACATGTGGGAAATCATGGTTCCTGACCCAGACAGCTTGCAATCTAAATAGAGAAGACAAATGGTCGGTTAAAGAGATACACTGGTTACTTTGTTTGTGAGCTCTATTACTTGAGCTGGGATAATCTCCCTCTGACATCTGGGTCTCTTTCGGTTACCAACAGAGCAGAAAAGTTTTGTAAGTTTCCTGTCTTACCCAAATTCTCTGGCCGCCCAGTTCCGGGCAGCTGACTTCCATTGTGGTCTACACTTCTTTGATTTTCCTCTTATGCTGATTTTTTTTTTAGCTCTTTAATTCCTTGCTGGAGTTCATAGCTGCTAACACGTTCCATATTGGGGAAAACTTTACTGATGTTGCATAGTTCCTTTGAAACCTTCTATCCACAAGAGTCAATTTATTGGTCACCTTATTTATCTGTGTAACGGGGCAATAACTCACTGGTGCGGCGCCTCCTGCTGGTCGTCCAGGGAATTTGCTCTGTCCACTCAGGAGTGCCCTCAGCAGGCCGGTGTCTCACTTGCCGCTGGCCCTGGTGACCCTCCCGGACTCTAGTGTCCTTTCTCTTGGGGTTCTGCCCCCTGCAGTACCCTGCAGTCTCTCTGGGTTTCCCCTCCCTGGGGATCCCCCAACCCCCTATCCACACCTCGCCTCAGTCTTTGGCTACTGCCAGTCACCATCTAGCCCCTGCTCACTGGGGCAGACTGCAGTATACTTGCCACTCATCATCGGCAAGGAGGGTTTGGACCTGCTGCCTCTGCCTACCCTTGGGCTGCCCTCTGCAACCCCAGTACCTTTTCCATCCTTTAGCAAGACCTGCAGCCTGGGGGTTTTCCAGGCCGGAGCTCCCCAGCTCCTCTGGCCTTTCCCCAGCCCTACTCCAGTCTAGGTACCCTGCTCAGCTCCCCACACCCAGACCCATCCCTCTCAACAGCTAGAGAGACTCTGCCAGCTCCTGGCTCACTGGCCTTTTATAGGGCCAGCTGTGGCCTGACTGGGGCATGGCCCCAGCTGTGGCTGCCTCCCCAATCAGCCTATCTTATTGATTCCCTGCCATAGCCCTCTCACAGGATTGTTTTAAGCCCTTCAGGGCAGGAACGGGGTTACTGCCCCGCTACAATCTGCCTTTCTATTTCAGACTTGGAGTGTCACAGTCGGGATTCTCAAGCTGCCCGGAGACTTCATATCTGCTGGCCCAACAAATATTTTAACTCAGACTGCGAGTCATCTCTCATACCTTCATAGGAAACCTCCCTCTGCTACTTCAATACCTTTTGCAAAATCTCCATCTCCTGTTTTAATTTATTTTGCCCATCTTTGTCTTTGCCCTTTTGGCCTAAGCGTTTAGCCAATAGGGTCTTCTGCCTTGTTTTTGTGTGAGGAGGAAAAATGGAGGTAGAGACAGGTATTTTCATGACACAATCCTTGTTGTTTACAAAGAATGTACACAAAGTCCTGTTTCTCTGAACAGTTGGATCAGACAACAGCAGGCTGTTTCCTTGCTCACAATACAAGCCTACCTTTACATTCACCATTCTGATCAAGGAGGTCTCTTTTGGATTTCTATCAGGCCATGCTACTAATACTTCTCTTGCTGTCTGCTGGCTCTCTGCAGCTTTCTGGCTCAAGCCTAACTCCCTATTGCATCCACACAGCAATTGTGTTAACCAAGATCTCATACTTAAGGTGCAGGACCCTGCAGTGCTAGACGGTTTGGGCCCTTGCTATGCTCAGACTCAGGAATCAAGCCCTATTGCTTTCCTGTGTGCATATGGCCTCAGCTTGACTCAGGTTCTGGAAGTCCTCTGGATGTATCCCAGAGTTCCTTGGGGCATCTTCCTCAGTCCTCTGGATGCCTATAATCTCTGATGCAGTCTATTGCACCCTATTGCAAATGTAATCCACACCTGCCTTTGAAAATGGCAGCAGCTCAGTTCAGCATTAACCCATTGTCTGCTGAACATCAGTCTGAAATCACACTACCAGATATCCTGCATGGTTTTCAGTGGAGCGCCCTCTGCAGGCGGGTGTCTCACTTGCCACTGGCCCTGGTGACCCTCCCGGACCCTAGTGTCCTTTCTCTTGGGGTTCTGCCCCCTGCAGTACCCCGCAGATCAGAAGAGAGCTGCTTCCTGATCACAAGACCACAGCCAGATTTTGGTGCAGACTTCCTGGACGCCCTTCAATAGCACCATCACAGTTAGGAAACTGGGTTGGTAGTAGAGTTTTCTCACACTGCAACATATTCATAAGGCTAGAGTGTCAACAGAGGGCAGGGGACAAGGGGGAGGAGGTGCTAGGCACTCTGGGATAGGGTTATTTTGACTTGGATCTGTGCACTATGGTGGATGCCAAAGTCCTAGTTCAAGCACAGGTCAGAAAATCCTTAACCTAGAGTTAAAATGCAGTGTAGATGCTCAAGCCGAGGGTTCCCTGACATGGGTCAGCTGATTCGAGTCTCACTAACCTTAGTGTACATTGCTGTGTAGAGATACCCACTGAGGTCTGTGACTACCTATAGATTAAAGACACACTTACTGTGAGCTAACCAACCTCCAATTCAACAATACTATCAAAAATCTATTAATGGAATGATGTATTTTGTCTTACCTCATTCTAGTTATCCTGTCTTCTGCTATAGAAGAGGTGTAATTGCTGATCTTCCTCCCATAATAGGCTTGCTCCTATATTATTGTGATAATTCCCACACCACCTCTGATAAAGTGTTTTGAGAAATGATGCCCCCTTTATAGCACTGGGGACAGAAGCAAATCATTTGTGCATATATATGAAGAGGGCTGGCTGGAAGAAGCTGATAAGGAGTCATAGGATGAAACAGAATGAAGATCTCTGCTTCAAAAATTCCATCACTTTCCAATGCTAGTAGCTACACAATGGATGCTGATAAAATACAGTAATATGTATGAAATCAACGCATGGTTTTCTATCCTGCTTTTAAGTTCCACATAACATAAAATATTTGCTTTTAATATGAACAGTAGTTGATCCACTGCAGTTCAGGAGTTACTGCAATTACATTTGATTAAGTTTGTTTCCATTTAGTTTCCAAAGATGGCTAAAATTACCCAGGGTGAATGTTAAGGCGTTGTGCTGAAATCAATAGTCTGTTCCTGTGAGAAACCCATAGGGGATCTGTATGTAATATTGTTTCAAAAAAATTGACGTACTAAATTAATTTTCCAGTATTTGTTCTCTCTCTGACAGGTACTTCAGAATGAATAAAAAGAAGCATCAAACAAATAATTTTAACCCAGATCTGAGGAGCAGAAGCCATTAACCAGTTATTTGTAATGTTCACACATTATGCTCTTTGTCAGTATTTTAACCTAGATTGTCTGAACTGATACATGTAATTACTTCTTTTGTCACAATGTATATTAAACTAATCATAAAATAGTAACAACAGATTGGCAAAAAGTTCCAAACTACAGCTATTTTATGAAAATTGGAAGAGGAAGCTTTAAGGGAAATTGTACACTTGGCCGCACGTCCTGAATTACACACTTCCCGCTTGCTGAAACAGAAAGTAACAATATTTCTCTCTGGCCCAAATCAGGAACTCCTAGCAGTCTTACAAGGAACCTTTATCTTGGGAGGCTTGTAGCCCAATTGCTACATCCAGAGGTTTATTTATGGATTGAGACCGTTTTGAGTTCCGCCCATCCCTATGAGCAGTTGGTCATCGTTCTTTTAAATGTTTTAGTCCATGCAACCAAAATATTATCCAGACATCTAACACAGTTGTATAGAAAATTTTCACTTCTCTGATGACAATTTAAACTTATGGTGTCTTATTTCTTTTTTAAAATTAAAGAGTTGTATATTTCATTAAGCAATTTAAAAAAAAATCTGTTGTTTGAGTGTGTTTTTTACTAACAACCCAACCTGAAGAAAAGTGAGAGGGAATTTTAGGATTTGTTGAAAGGGAGACAAAGATGAAAGCCTGCAGCCCATTAAACAGCAACATGATGCATGCATTGGGTAGTGTGTGAACAAACTGACTATTCTTACCTTTTACTGTATGCAACAAACTAGACCAGTGGTGTGATAGAGATGAACTTATCAGAATCCACATACGTGAGAATGACAAATTAATAAAGAGACAGTGAACATTGATGGGATACTACGTGTCTAAACCACACTCTAGACCCGGGGCAGCTAAAGCTGAATAATGCCAACGCCCCCCTCCCCCCACAGACACACACATTTCCCCAAAATTGTGTGATGGCTGCAAATGTTCACATTATTGCAGTGGTAATGTTACTGATCTCCCTCGTGGATTCCCTACTTCTAACTTAAATACACAGGCTTCCTATCCAAGGGCTGGGGAGAGTCAGGCACCTAACAGTAGGGCTGCATTTGAGCTTGGAGGTGTGATTCTCAGCTTGCATAGCCATATCTGCCCTAGCTCTGCTCAAACTATCACCACACAGGCACTAGCGTAGCCTTGCTTCCCCGACTCTGCCAGACCTTCAGCTACCTATTCGGCTGGCTAACCCAAGCTATTGCTGGTGCTGCTGCTGCACACTGCTACTTTTAGGTGCTAGGTTGGGCAGCTCTACCGTGGGTACAGCTCCCAGCTCAAATGTAGACATACCCTTAGACTGGGATTCACAAAAGCCAGCATGTTGAACAAGGAGGCACCTAAACCAGCCAGTGGGGAATGCCAAGGACAAGGGTGTGGCCTAAGCCTTGCTCCTCAGTGGGAGTTGGGCACCTTTCTCCACACAGGATTGACAGGGGTGAACTCTCTCCTGGAGTTAGGCACCCAAGTCAGGTCAGCTCTTTTTTGTAAAGCTCACACCACTAGGTGGTGATGCCATTATACCCAGGCGTGCATTCATCCTGTAGGAGGAGCCTTAAGTCCAAATACTGATGTGGAGGAGGGACTTAAACTCAGGTTGCCCCCATTGATTGCCCTACAGGACAATGGCATATTAGCATATGTCTTTCTCAAGCTCTCCTATTCAGCTGTTCCACTTTGTCTAACAAATTAAGTAATTAAAATGCTCATTAGCACAGGGACTTGAGACTCATATATATCAGGTGAATTGCTAACCACTGGGCCATAGAATCATTCTCAATGGTGCTGTAGTCCCCTGACTGTTTAATAGAAAACGGAATGGCTTCAACAGGCAAGGTTGTGTTTTAGCTTTTTGATAAATGTTGTGTCCTCATGGAAAC